TGCCCGTTTGATTGTTTTCGCTGTAACTTCTTTGTCTGAACCCGGATCTGAGTGATTCCAAATGCGTTGGAAAGCCGACAAGGAGTTCTATCAGCTCCAATGGTTGGATTATCTGTAGAATGAATGAGACACAAAGGGCATTGTTCCCTTTGTAAACATTGCAGGGCTCCCGATTAGCCCGCACCTTCGTTATTCCGGAATTCTGTCAGCTCACGTAGTTCGTCGATTCACTTTAAGCGTTCACCGACGTCAATCAAACTCCTGTGAACCGGATAGTGACGTTCATCATCATTCCTTAACACTGAGCTGTTCGTAGAGACCTATAGGCAATTTTTGATGCCTACAGATACCCCCTCCAAAGCGTTCCGGACTCGTTTCTTTTATAGAAGAGGCTGGAATACTTTGGATATGATTGGTCTAGCCTTCAGTCGGTGTAAAGGACCTGTAGTTAGCTTCAACTCTTGACTCCTTCGATTTTCGGTCTATTCAATGCTTTGACAAATAGCCGAAGTTCTTCCGACGCTGCGTTTATCGCTTGGCCGTCGTCGGAGTCTTGAGTCTACAGCTGATGAATTGAGTTTAGCTCGTGTCATTGAGTTGACTTTGAACTACCTCTGTCACATTGTGTTGACTTAGGGTTTCAGATCACCGTCTGTTGACTTTTTGTCGCAACGCATTGACTGGCGTTGACCTAGGGTTACGCGTTAACCTGACGGACCCTATTGCATTCGGGCGTCGAAGCGTGAGGGTCGCGTTTTGATTTATAAACACTAGGCCTTGGCCTGCGTTTAGTTGAAGGAACAGACCCTTTAGGGTCTTGTTTTGTTTGGACGCACTCTTGAGGTGCTTGTTTTCCCTTAACAGGGCTGTGCTTTGATTGGACAACGCACCACTGAGGGTCGCGTTTAAGTTGAATCACCCGAGGTTTGTAATTGGATTCATTACCTCGAAGTGTGCGTTCTGGAGTATGGACGCAATGCTTGTGCAGATCTTTGGAAACGCAATCCTTGCGTTGGTCTTGGGATTGATTTTCTCGGAGGTGTGCTCGTCGGATGGACCTTCTTCGTCGTCGAGCAGCGTTTTTCTTGGCTTGTTTCAAAGCCTTAGTATCAGCAACACCGGCGTTGATTGTGCTTATCTCTGTCATAGGCCTTTTACAACTAAGTACACGCTGTGTCGACATAGGCGTGTGATCTTCGGTTTGCAGAGCGAGCTTGAGGCTTTGGCCAAAGGAGAGGACTTTCTTTGGCGTCTCAACAGCAGTTAAGACTTTTTTAGAGCTCTTACAAGCATCTCGCCTAGCTTTAGGACTGAGTGATCCAGAAGAGAGAACCTCCTCGTATTTGGCTTGGTCAAATTCCACGACCAAGGTTTCCACGGTTGTTCCGGTGAGGTGAACGTCGGATTGCGTTACCACCTCTTCGTCAGAGAAGCTGGTCCCCAGCGGAGTCGCCATCTTTTGTTTGTGGGAAATTTTGTAATAAAAAGAATATAAGGAAAGAATTGCGTTTGATTTTATTCTCTCTAACTGCTTAGAAAAAGAATGATTACAACTCTCTCAACTCTCGATTACAATTTGGATTCCTAGTTACAAAAGAGAAGAGAATGATCTGGATTCTCTCCTTTGTTTAATTCTGGGTTCTTCTTGGTAGCGATGAGATGCCTCCCTCGATTGTTTGCGTCGAGTTTGCTTCTCGTTGACGATCCGAATATCTATACTCACTGGAACAACTGTCTTGTCTGGTTGATAACTCTTGACGAGTTTTGTGATTCAGAACAAGTAACAAACTCTAATGATAGAGTTGTTGGAACCGAAAATAATTCGGTTAATAAGCCAAATATCGACTGCTTAGAGTTCCTCCGTCTGTTGATTTCCCAGACTGTGTAAGGAGTCACTCCTCCTTTTTTCTGATTCTGGAAGATCTGATCGAAAGATCTTCTCCACGAAAATCCACCCCTTGATCTGATTATCAAAAAAAAAAAAAATCCCATCCTTAACTCTGTTGAGTTTGTTGCTATTTATAGGGGGATTAGGGGTGTAACTGCCCCCATAATCCGCGCCTAAATGGGGGTTTAGTTACCCCAGTCTAGCCCCGGATTTCGAATCAGGTGGAGGAAGCGTAAATGGCAGGGAGGAGATGCGTCTCTTCAGCGAAGAGACGAACACTTTGGGCGCACTTGCACACTACCTAAGGCGTAAGAAAAGGCTGATTGTTACAAGTGGCGCTATATGCCGGAAGAAGGAAGCGGATCTTTTATTGGAGACATTCGCTCAAAAGCAGATTGTTGCCAAGGGATATTTGCTACAGCGTTGAGGGCATTGATTACAATGAGGGTATTTGCTCACCGTTGGTGTGAAGCATTCGGTCGATTCGGTTTTTTATTGGCGTTTGGTGGCACAGTTGGATTTGGATTTGGTCCAGTTATTGGATGTGAAGAGCAGCCTTTCTGAACCGGAGATTTAGATGGAGGAGACTCTACATGACACAACCCCAGGGTATTCAGAAGCTGCAGGAAGAAGGAAGATTTTTTTGGTATTTTGTAAGCTGCAAGATAGTCTCTTTTATGGTTTGAAGCACGTCACCAGACAGTGGGTATTAATGAGAAATTTCGACGGCTTTATGATTTGCCGGGAGGCGTACACGGAGGAGCCCATTTATGAAACCCATGTGTTTATATGCACAAGCATACAGGCATGGTGAGCATTGCATATATTGCTTTTTTTTATAGTTGTTGGGACGATATGCGTTATTGCATTCAGAATCTTCAGCTTTATTTTCGAAAGCGAAGAGAGGAGTGTATCATCCGAGGTTTGAGATTGAAGAATCTTGGAGAGGCAAAGAAGGATATTGGGTTATCGAGGATTCGAGATGAGATAGGGGGGTGCACGAGGGGAGTTTTGAGAGCTTACACAGAAGAGTACTTGGCAGAAGGATGTTGAAAGAAATTCAGCTTGATGGGGCAATGCAAAAGCAAGTTATGCACACCATTGGGGCTCCCGCCCACTTCAAGCTTTCAGCTGTTGATGGTCACCTGGTTCAGTGGAGGACAGAGGATTTAATGTGTTGAAGGGTCCCATTTAATGCCCAGTGTAGTAGGTAGCTGATTGTATGGCGATGGTTGTGCGTACAGAGCCAGATTTTGTCACAGGCTGTGAGCATGTACGAATGCATGACCCCGGGAAGGGTCACTGTGGAGGGCCGTCGAAGTGGATTCGTACAGTATGTTCGAGAACCCGTGTGCGATGTTGTTTAGTATTTCCAGCAAGATGGAGTATAGGGATGGGGCAGCGAGTTGTAATTGGATATTGGTGATTCAGATTATGGCTAGGACATCTTGACAAACGACCGGGTCTACGTCATTTATGCTTTGTACAGTTGCAGGTGGCCTGCACCTGGTATGTTGCGGTTTGTGACGCCTGATCAACTCCACAGGTTGGCTCTCTCTACTACAGAGGCAGGCATTAGTATGGCGGTTACTGAAGCAATTTAAGGAGGCTTTAGTGGTTGCGGTAGGATTATGGAGACTTGGGATCGCTCAGGAGACTATTCGGAGGTGTTGATTGCTGATGTATCGTCAGGCTTCCGTTGTTTGGCGAAGAACCAGGTTTATGCGGGAATGCACGTACGAAAGCACACGACGTCAATTTCACTTTGTTCGGACGTCTTGGGATGGATGGAGATGGTCATATGGCGAGAAGCGTCCACACAAATGACAACCCTGCAGATATGTTGTGACCAAAGTTGTTTCAGGAGGAAATGTGTTTTTTTTGTGTGGTGGGGTCATTGTTTGAAAGCTTTTGAACATCCTTCAGTGCTGAGCCTTTTGGAGGCCATTTGGGTGAACTGACGTTCGGGCCGTTTGATTCCTTGGCAAGAGGATACGGGGGTTACGTAGGCAGTCTTCTCATATGGCAGCCTTGCGTTTGATCAGTTGTTGATCAGACTGGGGGGAGATCGCGTTGTGCAGCTCGAGTATTGGTTCCTGGACTTGGTTAAGGGACTATAGTGAATGACTTTCGTGTCGCTCAGTTTTTTTGGAAAATTCGCCGAGGGTGGAAGAATTGAGAGAAATTACAGAAACTCAGAGAAAACGCGAGCCAGAGAGGTTGCGGTCGACCGGCGAGGGCGGTCGGACCGCAAACGTGCACGAAAGGCTCGATGGAATCAAAGCTCTGCGTGGCGGTAGTCGGACCGGTGCAGCGGTGACCGTGATCTGGTGACGGGTCGACCGGCGGGTTTCGACCGGAGGATGACTGTAGGATTTTCTCGCTGCTCGGGTTTGATGATTCGGTCGACCGGGTGCGGTCGAGCCGCAAGACCTGCGCGGCGGGCGACCGCCGCGTCGCACCGCGATGATCGTGGCTGGCTTTTAGGTTTTTGACCCGTTTCGTTTCTGTAAGTAGCTAATTCTAAAGCCTGATTTGTGTAGGGTATCGGGGGAGGGACGGATTTTGAGCGCCTCTAAGAGAGATTGTTGCAGTCAATTGTGTGTGAGAGCTGTTTGAGAGATCAAGGTACTTTGTTTTAGGGGTTTGGCTGAGAGATTGTAACCCTAGTTGTATTGGCCTTGATTCTGTATTCAGTAAAATTCCCCCCGCTTCCTGCCCCAGTAGACGTAGGCAACTTGCCGAACCACGTAAATTCTTTGTTCTTGCTGTGATTGTGGTTTGCATATTGTTTGTGCTTTACTTCGAGTTATTGTTCGTGTTGCCCTAGAGAGCTTCCGCCGCGCACAACAGTATTTTTATCCTATCTTGTTTTATGAATTTAATTTTTCATCCTCCAAATGGTGCTTTTAATGAATTTAATAAGGTCCAACATTGTATACTGCCATGAAGTTCATGAATATGGTGGGATGCAATAGAGGTTGCAAAATGCTTTCGGGTGCCTTTTGATGTGGGTCATATATTTTTATTAAGGGGATGAGAACCGTCAAAGATTAATTCGATTGAGTTAGCTAGGAATTTGCTACCGGGGGTTAATTTAATTAACAACACATCAAAATCATCGCATTTTCATTCTTTTCAATTCAGTCGCAAACCAGCACCAAATCTTAACACATCATCCCAACATTAAGACCTCCCTTGTTGCAGATGAGCAAGATTGCACCCAAAAAATAAAAGGAAAGAAACAAGAGGAAGAAGAAGAAGACTAGGAAGAAAATCTCACAATCACTAAGTACACTTGCAACATTTAATCAAACTCACACAACTATTTAATTAGTCTTCCTACAATTCTTCCTAACCTCTCCACTCGACCCTGTAAGTGGACTAATATCTCCCATATTGATCATAGCTGTAACAAAATCCGAGTTAAAGGTACTCGGATTGTTACTATAAGTAGTAACTTGAGAGCTCGTCGAGCCATTGTTAAAGAGTTCTTGGTCGGAGTGGAGGAGCCCCTTTTTGTTGACGAGGTTCTTGAAGTAGTTGTTGTCGAAGGTCGTCGGGGTCTGGAGGTCGAGGGGGGCGAGGTTGTTGTCGCCGGATGGGGAGGTGGCGGGGCAGTTGGACTGGAGGGAGTTGGCGAAGGAGGAGTCGATGTCGGTGTCGTTGTAGATGTGGGCTCTGAAGCTTGTGCACCTGGCTTGGCCTATTGTGTGCGCACCTACTCGTTTCGAGGAAAATAGATCAATACAAAATAAGGGGGCAGACTCAGGACAACCCTAGTTCAGATTAGTTCTAAACTGGTTAAGTTCTTGTCCGGTTATTTATCAAACTAGGATTAATCATCATTTGATTATTATAGCTATAATGATGTGGCTATGAGCCTACTTATATTATGTAGGTTATTTGGTTAACACTTATACCATCTAAACCGCAGACGTTGTTATCTTTCTTGTGCTAAATTTAGGATGTGTTTGGTTAAAAGTGATTAGAAGTAGTTGCACGAATCTCGAAGTTGGATGATTCAATAATTAATATTTCCTTAATGCACATTTAATAAAGTTATGGACCGCAAACCATTTCATGCCTTTTCTAATTGACAAGGCTAGTGAGTTCAAGGTACCATAAGGGTAGTGAAAGTGAAAACCTTTGGCTAACCAAGCCTTTTTTAAAAAGTTAAAAGAGTTCGAGCACTTTTGGCAATGTCGGATGAGTTGGATCCAAATATGGCCTTCTCAGGTCTAGAACTTGGACCAGTTGAAGAAGACGGCTTATTACTTTACGGGGTCAATCAGTCGCCTCCAATTGCGAGACCACTGTAAAGCTAAGTAATTAGATTGAGACATTATAATTAACATTATTTCTAGATCTAGATTCTTATGCAGGTGACACGCTAAACAAAAATCTTAAAGTTAGTCTATCTAACCGTTAAAGACAAAAGTCCGAAGTTAGATGAGGGTTAAGGATTATGTTTCTATATACTAATATGTTCTTGCGGGTAACATCGAAAACCCTTTTAAATGGAATGAAACCTAGACTCATTTAATGGTGTCAATTTTTAGAAAATCCGCTTTAAATTTGTGGCTGATAGGATTTAAATTTGGGTTGTTCTGACACCATTTTAAAATTTAGTTCTTTAGCCATTACACCAAAACTCTAAAATTATGGTGAGGATCGATTATTATATATTTAGATTCTAACAAAAAAATTACAATTAAAGCCACAATCAATAGCAAATTCCAAGTTTTTATTGACAGCAAGAAGATGAAAAAAATTTATACCTGAAAGTGCAACCATGTCCTTAGTTGAGAGACCCTGAGCTGAAAACTTAGAGATGAGATTACTAAGACTTAGAGATGGAGCAGGAATATTATTGTTAGCTCCACTTAAGCTTGCAGTCTTTGAATCCCTTCTTCCCAATTTCACATTCCAAGTTGGCCCTCCAAGCTACAAATTATGAATATAAATTTAAATAAAGCAATGTATTTGTTAACTAAATTAAACAATCCAAAATTAATCATGTTAACTCACAATGACCACAGAGTCTCTAGCAGTCACTGCCAGGATATCGGCACAAGAGACTGCACCAGGACATGCATTCTCCACTGCGGTTTTGATATTGTCGATCACATCAAATCCTCTGACTGAGTTACTGTTTGGATTTGCGGTTTTCTCCCCTGTAAAGTTTGCAGTATCGTCTAAGAGCAACGATCCATCGCAACCCTATGATGCCATAGAAATACATGTAACATACTGCTTTCTTATAAAGAAATAGCGTGTATAGGTTGGCAGCTGATTTTGCTAAATTAGCTGAAAAGATATGAGATATAGATGAGACCTCACTAATCATATCATAAGCGTCGGCCTCATCATTCCTCATCTCTTCTAATAACTCATTTAGCAAAATGAGCCATCGGTCTGTATCCAACAATTCCCTATGGCGGTCGTACAATTAAATGAAACATAATGAAAAGAGGAATGAAGTGCATTGACATGTAATAACGATATTCGTACATTAACGAAGCAATCATGAAAGAAGAGACGAAGGAGTGAGGCGCCCATTCGCGTCTCATTTGAGATAGCTGATTGAACTACCGGCTTAATTGTGGAGAGGAGATTGGGGCATGAAGTTGAGTAGAAGTTCGTAGTAAGCTGAGCTGAGGAGTTCCCCAGCAAGAGAAAGAACACCAAGGCAATAGGAGCAAACGACGCGAAGAACGAAGAAGCCATTGTGATCATTAACTGATCTTAATAAGTCAAAAGATCAAGGCTTGAGAAAGAACTTGAGAAGCTTGGGTTATTTATAGTAGCAAAAGGAGAGGGTTGCATATGCATGGCCCCCACTCACCTTCGTGGGTCAACTTGCATACCTAATCCCTGGAAGATTTTGTATGGGGATCAAAAGGAAGAAAAGGCATTCACATTGATACAATTGAAAAGTGCCACCCGATGGTTGTTAATAATTAATACTAGTGATAGTGATAATAAAGATTGAAGCATTTGTATGCCTATTTGCCTACATACATAGAGTAGAATGCTCTACTATTCTATGATATGGAATGCATGGTCAAAGGAATTGGAGGCAAGGAATCACAATACATAATAGAAGGGCTAGTAGCGACTTTTATTTTTGAGACATTGTGAGAGTCAATATGAAGGTTTGTTGCATATTTCTCAAAGCAAAGGTAAAATTTTCTTACATAGGTATTTAGTGGTAGTTGAAGAAATTAACCAAATGATTGCTAATAATTGTAAACTAAGATAGTGTCCAATATGTAGCCTAAAAAATGTTGGGTCTTCATATGGTAGATAGAACTTGATTCACCAATTAACCTTATTTCAGAATGGGCATTATAGCACTTATTTCCGTTGAAAGCTCTGATTTAATTTTAAGAAAAAGTGGATAAGCAATTTGCCTAAGGTTGGTTTTCTTCAATTAAGGGGGCAAAACTTTGTTCACTAGGAAAAAACTCTTAGCTCCGTAGTTAGGTGAGGGCTTAAGTTGAAAAGGTAGAAGCTTAGAAAAACTCCATAAGTTTAAAGTTTGTTAGGAAGTAGAAATCTTGAAGCAAAAGCAGAGGTAATTTTAATACAAAAGGTAGGTACATGCCTTAGAATGATTGGTGGATTCTATTTAAAATATTAGATCCTCTGCATTTGCAATTAATATTCGTGATATCTAGAAAATAATAATCATTTACACAAAAATGAAATTCGGAAGTTAAAAGAAAACACAGAAATGGCACATTTCTTTCTAAAATGTAATATTATTCTCACCGGAAGTTTCAGTAATTAGATGGCTATTCACGATTTTGTGTTAAGTGTGAGCTTTTGCTTAGGAAAGAGACATAATATATGATTTAGTCTCGCATTGGAAAAACTCATGACTGAAATAAGATTATAACACTATAGATTTTTTTTAATAAATAATCCAGCATAGAATTGAACTCAAGACCGTAAAAGTCATATTGGTACCTCCAAACCATCAATGTCACTCATCATGAGTGATATAGAGAGTTATTCAGGCATATCTTTTCTCATTACAGAGTAACTCATTTTGAACTACTAATAAAAAATTAAAGCATTGCTCTACCTAAAGATGAATATAATAGATTTTATTAAACGCATTAATCTCTTTGAACGTACGATTTACAACAGGGTCTAAAAGACTTCTAAATTGGCATATGAGCAACCAGGGGCAAAACAAGACAAGATGATAACGTGTTTCCAACTTATCAATTGCCCATGCAAACCTCAAGGATTTTTTAAAAAAACTTCATTTCTAAAGTAATTTTCGGTCAGTTAATTCGAACATATATTTGTTTACTTGTTACATTTTAACTAACCTTGTCACCTAATTCACATCACGAAATGTGTTAATATTTTAAATAATTTTTCATTTGCTTCAAATTGAAGACTCGATCTGCTGTTTGTCTTTTTATGATTTTATATATAGGTGTCTAGAAAATTTGACTTCAAAAAGATTGCTTTTATTGGTCAAAAGCTACTGATTATTAGCATATAGTAGGTGGAGAACATATAAAGAAAAAAGATTCAACTCATTTATGCATGTTTGATTCTTTATGAGCAAGAAAGAGACTTAATCCCAGAATAATTGTCTCACTTTTAAGGACTGAGTCATATTCGATGAGGTAAATTAAGCTTTAAGTCTTCGATTTAGATGCTAATCAAAAGTTAGTTATGCATGAATAAGATTACATAAAGTATTAAGTTAAAAAGATTTAATCATGGAGTTGTCTATGTTATGACAAACTCCCCAGGATAAGAAAATATCAATCACATGAGAGCACGAAAAATATCAAGAACATACGAACACAAAGATATATGTGATTCAGCTTGTAGCCGACATCCACAGGTGAAGGAGGAGAAAACTTTACCAAATTGTGAGGAATACAAAGCGGATCTCTCAATCACACAATCCTAAATAACACACCAAAAGCCTAATACAACTCTCAACTAAAGGAACAAAATAAAAGAATATCAAATAGGCTTCACAAAAGAACTCTCTCTTATTGATTGGTGCTCTGAAGATTGATGATTATAATTGGCTTAAAAGATCGTATTCTTATATAGCCTTAAAGATCCAAACTCATTGTTGTCTACGGAATAAGAGTTCTAATAAAAATAGAAGTCCACATGCCCTAAAATCCAACAAGAGTCTATGTAGGAATAAACCTATAATATGATTGGTTGTGCAAAGTCTAATGTAAGTAGAACTCTTGATCAAAACAAACCAAGCCATAAAAGGAACTCCCAAAGCAATATGGATTTGAGTATTTGAGGCAGCCTATAACAAATCTCCACATTGACTCAAATACGTAGAAGATTCCTCACATCAAAATAAGCTAACTTACTCACCTTCTTCAATAGCCCCACATGGCATCTAAGTGTACCACGTATCGATCAAGTCCAAGCCCGGCTTGAACTTGCTAACTGAAAGAGACCTCCTCAACAAATCAATTGAATTGTCTGCACGACAACCGTAAATATTAGCGAAGTCATCACCTGAAGTAGCTCGTGAATAGCTGAAGGGCACAAAATTATCAACCAACAATGCATAAGCTACCATATCTTCATATCTTCATGGTGGTCGGATATCTCGTCTAGACCGATCTCTAGCTATAGTGTATTCTCGCTCTTCCTGCAGCTGCTGAGGTGCTTCATCTACTTGAACGGAATCTGGCTGCTGAACTCCCGTAAGGAGACATCGGATCAGGACACCACAACCTAAAACCCTTAACACCCGATGCATAACCTAGGAATATGCACTTCTTCGCTCGCGGCTCAAATTTCCCTTGACTAACATGCACATATGTAGGGCAACTAAATATTCTAAATATTAGAATAATCCGCAGGCTTACCAGACAAAACCTCCTCTAGATTTTTACTGTTAGACCCTAATGCCACTAGGAAAAAACCCTAGTGGGGAGTGAATAGGGTTTATGCTAATCTAATCTGATTTAATGCTAATTAAAACTAATTAACAAATATCCTAGTACTTTAGATATGCAACAAGATATATGCAAGGATAAACAATATAAACAAGGGTGATATAAATTATAAACAAACAAGAGTAATAGTGCATAAATAAACCAACACAAACACAAGAAAATGATCACGGAGTTTGGTACTTCCGACCTACGTCTCCGCTCCCCACTCCCGAGGAGAAATCCACTATTACACCGGGTTTTTAACGCTCACCCGAAAATATTTACACCACACAATATCGTCAACGCTCATCGATCAACGTTCATAATCAATTACAATGTAACTACACAAATCCCACCATAAGTGTTGGCCTCTCACGTGTCTCCCTCAAGTGTTCGGAATTACTACCTCTCACTAGGCTTTACTACCGACGCCACTCCTCCTGGGACCGACCACGTCTCTCACCTCTACATTCCTCTTGGTGTACTTGTGCAATACAATGTGATCTCACAAATGAAATCTCAATAATAAATAATTTGTTCTCTAAACAAGGTGAGAACTCAATTAAGACCAACTCAATGTTGCAATCTCACAACCCCAAATATACTATGTATGAAAATACTAAAAGCTCATTATGGGTGTGTGTGTGTGACAAAGAGATAAATCAAAACTAAACTCAATGTAATTCTAGCTAATAGAAATTATAATCAAAGCAAATAAATAACTAGAAAAGAGTTTAGAAAACTTCTCTAATGAATGACAAGAAAGAGAGGGAGATGAGTTGAATACCCAAACACCAAAGGATGATCTCCTTAAGCTCTTGTGAAATTTTTTTTCACAAAACCAAAACTTGAAACAAACTTGAAACCCTTAAACAAACTTGTAAAACTCTTTTAAAACTTTTCTCTTGTATATGTTAGGTCTGAGGTATGAGGGGTATATGTAGGACACCACAAAACCAAGAAGAAACCAAGAAAACCCAGCAAAAAGATAAAAATTAGAAAACTAGAAAAACTAATCGTTGGGCCGTCAGTCAACTGATGTTGTTCATCAGTCGACTAATGAGCTGATCGTTAGAGTCAGCCCAACATCTCATCGGTCGACTGTTGACCTCGTCAGTCGACTAATGTCCTCGTCAGTCGACTGATGAACTCGTCAGTTGACTGATCAGTCGACTAACTAAGAAATAGAAACTTATTATAATTCCAGGCGATTTCTTTAGTCGACTGAACACTTACATCAGTCGACTGATAACATAATATCAGCCTGTTTAAAATAACTAATCTGATTTTTAAACTTTTTTTAAAAATAGCATATAAATTTAGAAAAATGTAAAACTTTGGGGAATGCTTGTAAACATGATAATGAACATGTTAGAAAAAGAATTTTTTAAATTACATCTCCCAAAAAAGAAATCTCTTGATTTTACAAAAATGTTCAAAACATGAAAACTTGAAATACTTGAAATTTGATGTTTTGACATAAACCAAAGTTTTGAAAACTCTTGTATGACTTTATATACTTGGGAAAAGATATACACTAGTGTTGTCAAGTCCATAAACCGAAAAACAAAATCTTTTCTCAAAAATACATATACTATGCAATAAAACATAATTTTATTAAATTAAATAAACTTGATATTGATGAAATCATATATAAGCATATAAACATAAAACAAGTATGTATTTTCCAATTATATTCATTTGTTTTATATTTAAACTAAAAAATATAAAACCAAAACAATTACCCAAGCTTGATAGATCTTCATTGAGCTCTTCTTGGTAAACTTGTGGATGAAGCTTGAACTTGAA